ACAAGTAAAACAGAAAATTTGTGTTCGTACAGCTGGTTTACATTTATCCCCAGAGTCTCAAGGTTATCCATCCATACCCCAGGACCATAAATCTTGCATAGATAAAAACCGTGAGGCACACCAAATACATTAGTTATACATTTTGTTTGATTTTATGGTTGCACTGGATCTTCACTGCTGCACAAGGGCTTCTAGTTGCGGTGAGTATGGGCTACTCTTCCTTGCAGTGGTGGGTTCTCTCGTTGCAGAGCACAGGCTCAAGAGCATGTGGGCTTAGGAGTTGCGGCGCACGGGCTCTAGAGTGCAGGCCCAGTAGTCGTGGTGCAGGATTAGTTCTCTGTGGTGCATGGAATCTGCATCCCGAACCAGGGATGGAACCTATGTCACTGGCATTGTTAGGTGGATTAGTCACCAATGGACCACCAGGAAAGCTCCTATTTATATGCTTTGCTCATTTTCACTACTGCACGTGGTAGGTATGGCAGAGGTTTAACAATCCCATTTTACAGAAGGGGAAGCTGAAGCTAAAAAGAATTTTATGATTTGCCAAAATGAATAATAATTGTTTTGGGACATGGTCCTAGGTCTTAACACTACAAATCTGAAACTCTTTCCTGAATTTCATGCTCATATTAATAATAACTGTGAAGGACAAAAATTTATAAAGAAAAAATAGTAATAACATAGCAAGAATAGATGTTGTTCTTGTCATTGTTTAGTCACTAATTCATATCCAACATATCAAGCCCCATGAACTGCAGCATGCCAGGCTTCCCTTTCCTCCACTATCTCCTGGAATTTGCTCAAATTCATGTTCATTGAGTCAGTGATCACAACATCACAGCATCACAGCATCACCATCTCATCCCCTGCCGTCCCCTTCTCCTGTTGCTTTCAATCTTTCCCAGCATCAGTGTCTTTTCCAGTGAGTCGGCTCATCAGAAGGCCAAAGGATTGGAGCTTCGGCTTCAGCATCAGTCCTTCTAATGAATAGTCGGAGTTGATTAGCTTTAGGATTGATGGTTTGACCTCCTTGCAGTCCAAGGGACTCTCCAGAGTCTTCTCTAGCACCACAATTCAAAAGCATCAATTTCTTGACACTCAGCCTTCTTTATGATCCAGCTCTTACATCTGTACATGATTACTAGAAAAAACATAGCTTTGATGATACAGACCTTTGTTGGCAAAGTGATGTCTCTGCTTTTTATTCAACTGTTTAGATTTGTCATAGCTTTCCTTCCAAGGAGCATGTGTCTTTTAATTTCATGGCTGCAGTCACCATCTGTAGTGATTTTGGGATCGAAGAAAATAAAATCTGTCACTGCTTCCACTTTTTTCCCCATCTATTTGTCATGAAGTGATGGGACCAGATGCCATGAATAGATAAAACCCATCACATCAAAAATGAACTTTCTTTCTTGATTCTAATATATACTTTCTCTGATTTGTAAAAATTCTATTTAATAAACTTCTTAGTATAGCACTTTTAATATGACTTTTAATATGGCTCATTTGGCCAAATAATCTATTGATATGAATCACCCATAAGAGCTATCCATCTATTTACCTATCTACCTATCTAGTTATTTATATATCTACAAGGTGTGAAGTATAAAAATAAAAAGCTAAAAGGAAATATTTCCTGACCACAGTAATGATTACAATAAAATTGTTCGCTGCAGGACAGCCATGGCCTGGTGTGATCCATATTGGATGCTATAATATGAACTAAATGCAGTATATTAGCCAAAGGAACTCAGCAGCATATGCAGCTGTTAATTGACAAAAATAAATTCAGCTGGTACATGAACTCATATCATGAACCCTGCTTTATATTCCAACAATTTCTGTGAAACTGAATGGTGCCCACATGATATAACAAGACTGTAGTTGTCAGAAAAATTGCCTCCACTACCTCCACTTGATTTCCCATGGTTTCACACTTCATGCAGACAAAGTCATTACTTAAAGGGGGATCAATGAAAAAGCAAAAAGAAAAAAATTGTTTTGGAGTTCAATTATTGTGTAATGTCATTTAAGTCAATCCAGTTACATTCATTTTTAGAGAAAGAAGAATTTAAAAGGTAAGCTTTGTGTTTGATATACCTTATAATAGATAGAAATTTGTGAAATTTCCAAAAACTGATGTTATGGATTACTAAAGAATGACTTTTAAAGAAATGGGTATTCAGTGAAGTCTCTTCACATGGCATATACTACATCTGTTTCACAGACTGGTTTATGCCATAGATACTATGTAAAATAGATATTTTACTCGATATTTTTCATGGTATACTAACTTTTCACCCAGGTACTGACTTTGACTCTCTCCTATGGATCAGGAGGATTTTTTTCCATAAAAATGACACTTTGTCTCTCACCCCCGATTTTAACTTTGACTCTCATCTATGGACCAGGAGGATTTTTTCCATAAAAATGAAAAATACACAAAATAAATAACTTTTATTTTCTCACTTTACTAAGTATGCATCCTGTCACTTAATTCTCACAGGAAAACTATTAGATAATTAGGTAATTTTATCTGCATTTTCTATAAGAGTAAGTCAAAGTTTACAGCAATTAAGTAACCAGCCCCAAATTGCATATTAGTATACTGGTATTTGATCCCAAGCCTATGTAAATACTACAGAGTTGGTGCTTTTAACCAATGCTCACCATATTTGCCTCTAAATGAGTATAGGAATTTTTAAACAAATCAAGTCAGGTTATCTTTTCATTTTTTAAGCTTAGAAAAACAACATAAAATCATGAAATCTTTAACTGGGTATGACAGGCAGACCCTAAGTTAACCCCAGTGATCTCTGCTATCTGGCATTCATGCCTTTCAGATCCCTACCCCTAGAGTGTGGGTGGGATCTGTGACTTGTTTATAACTAACAGAATATAAGAAAGGTAATGGAATGGCACTCCTGAGGTTATATCACATGGTGTTAAGTCTTACTGGGCTTCCCAGGTGGTGCTACTGGTAAAGAACCTGCCTGCTAATGCAGGAAACATTTAACATGCGGATTCGGTCCCTGGATCAGGAAGATCCTCTGGAGAAGGGAATGACACCGAACTCCAGTATTTTTGCCCCAAGAATCCCATGGACAGAGGAGCCTGGCAGGCTACAGTTCATAGGGTTGCAAAGAGTCGGACAAGACTGAAGTGACTTGGCATGGAGGCAGGTCTTGCTAGTCAAATTGTTTCAGAGCTTTTCTTTGCTGGCTTGATGAAGTAAAGAGCTATGCTGAGAAAGCCCACCTGGCAAGCAATCACTGGTGTTTGATTTGTAGCACCTGAGGGCAACCTCAGTTGAGAGTTGACAGCCAAGAAAAAGTCAGGGCCTTTGGACTTACAGCCCCAAGTAAATGAATTCTGATTGGATGTGCTTAAGAGAAGATACATTCCCAGCTGAGCCAGATGAAAACGCAGTTCATAAACTAGTTTGCAACCCTGCTACATCTTGGGCAGAGAGTCCAGTCCTGTATCAGGATACCTGACCGACAGAAACTAAGAGGTAATAAATATGTGTTCTGTTACCCACTTGGTGCATGGTAACTTGTTGTGGAGAATATAAAACTAATGCCCTGGATGAAAAGCAAGATTTGCAGGAATATTTCAGAACGGAAAATGACATCTCTGTTTTAATTCACTTGCATCTGAACCATATCTGTGTGCACTATCAATCCTTGAAATACAGACTCTAGACTTCTGAAATTACCTCAGTGATCTCGACCTTGAGGCTTAGAGCAAATCCCAGAATGAAGAGTGCTTAGAGTTCCATCATGTCAAGTGGAGAGAAGTTTTGCTTTCTCTTAAGTTAAAGTATTTTTTATTCTGCAAGTTGAGACTTCATCTCCTGAGTCATTATTATTCAACATCAAATATATAATATTTGAGTTGAGATTTTACTAATGCACAAGGAAAAAAATAACAATATTCTTTTATTTTTCTTGCTGTCCCTTGATTTCCTTGAGTGCCCTTTATAAAAAGTCAAGACATACCCAGGGAAAAATAACTGAATTTCAGAAAACTTGGAGTTATGTTGCTTACTTGCAATGACTATTAAATGTCAGGAAACCATCTGAAAGGAAAGGTGATATTGATGTTAAATTCAAAATAGTGTTTGGGAAAAAATGTAGATGTATTTACAAAGTACTTCCTGATTTATTGTGTATAGTCTCTATCACAACCGTCAAGAAATCACCTCAGTCTTAGACATTTAAGCAACAAATGCACTGTCTCACAGTCCTATGGGTCCTAAATACAGTAGGTTTGGCTGGTTTCTTCAGTAAGGCTCCCACAAGGCCAAAATCAAGGTGTCATCAGGGTTCTGTTTGTTTTTTCCTGGATGTTCTTGGGGAGAATCCATTTCCAAATCTTTTTAGAATCCACCCACTGGCAAAATTTCAGTTCCATGGGTTTGTACTACTGAAGTTCCCATTCCCTTGCTGGCTGTTGGCTGAGCTACTGATGTGTAATAGGGAAGATTCTATTACACGTTAATCACTAAAGGGATGTTGCCTATAACATGTGTCTCCAACCTCCCACGATCTAATTACTGGTGATCTGAGGTGGAGCTGATGTAATAATGATAGAATTAAAGTGTGCAATAAATGTAATGTGCTTGAATCATCCCAAAACTTCACCGCCCCCACCCCCCATCCTGGTCCATGGAAAAATTATCTTCCATAAAAGTGGTCCCTGGTGCCAAAAAAGTTGGGGATCACGAGCCTATACGTTTAAATTATACATAATAACCCAGTTCTGGGAACCTGGCTTCCCAGATAATGAAGGTTAAGCTAAAATACTTTTTGTTAACTCACAGGAGCATCTTGACCAGCGCCACCTGTGAATGGCTAGGGAAAGGAATAAATTAACACATCCTCTCCGGAGTCTGGCCAGAAGGACGACCTTGTCCCCTCCCCTTTTAGGATAAAAGAAGCCAGGATGCCATCTTGGGGAACATGGTTCTTTGGAAATGCTAGTCTGCCATCTTTTCTATCTGCTGGCTTTCTGAATGAAATCGATATTCCTTTCCGCAACATGTTGTTTCATGAGTGATTGCCAGCCTGTTTTGTGTCGAGCAGTACAAACTTGGACTCGGTAAAACCAGAGGTGAGTTCATTTCTTGGCTTATGACCACCTTCCTTACATCTCCAAAGGGGCTCCGGCTCTTCTCACATTTCAAATTTCTCTGCTTCGTCTGTCTGTTCCTGGTGAATTTAAGGTCCTTTATTCATCACAAAAGAATTCAGAGATGAAGCAGAGACATTAGGAAAGGAAGCAAAGTTTGTTTAAGCAGGATATGCTCTCACAGGGAGAGTGGGCAGATAGGTGAAGAGCGGTTGCCCTGGGTTTCCTTGGCAAGCCGGTTAGGGGCATACAGATGAAGGGGAAGGATGGCCACTGAGAAGGAGAAATGTGGGAGGTCATATTCCCTGATTTTCTTCCCAGCCCCAAGTTTCTAAGGGGAGGAGGGATTTTTCCCTTATTTAGCCTAGATCAGAAGTGTCATGGCGTCAGTGCATGATGGGCACGTCTTACCTGTAAGTCTGATTCTACTGTAATGAGAGTATAATGCTCAACAGGCTACATAAGTTTGCAGGAGATTCCCGCCTTTCTCCACCTTTTTTTGTCTGCTAGGCAGACACTTAACACCCCAAATGTGTGGTTTACTGTCAGTCTGCGGGTTGCCTCTTTCCTCTGTCTGCCTATGGACCCCCACTGTTTATAAGATACCAGGGTTTTCTGCCACCTTTCCCCTCCCTGCCCCCATTTTTCTAATCATACCTAGCTACCTGCCTACTGGAAAATATCCGCTGTCCTTCTCTTCTGCTGCATCTCTGACAACAGCCAGAGAAATTTCTCTGTTTTTAAGGGTTCATGTGACTGGATCGAGCACATCTCTGTAAGCCAGGCTGATCTCCCTATCTCACAGACTGTAACCTCAATCATATCTGTGAAATCCCTTCTGTTGTGTAACTGGTGACATTCACAGGTTTGGGGGATGAGAGCTTGGGCATCTTGGGTGGGGGCTGTTATTGAGCCTACTACACTATTCAAGTTAAATTATCATTTTACAATAGACAGCTGTGTAGCGCCAACGCCATCTTTAAATTGAGGGAAATGGTTTCTCAAAGGAGTTTTCTCGTGGCTAACTTTTGTGATCTTTGTTTAGAATCGATTCCCTCACTTTCTTTTCCACTCTGTGTAGAGGCCAGTTTAAAAGCCTCTCTGTAGTTTTCCACTGTCATATACTTTGCTTTTAGTATCTAGTTATCTAATAATGATACAGTCTTCTATTTTTTCTTGACTATTTAAAATTGTGATAAAATTTGTGTAACATAAAATGTTAGCCATTTTTAAGTGTACAATTCAATGGTGTAAAGTACATACACAGAACTGTGTATCCATCACTACTATTTTCAGAACTCTCAAATAGAAACTCTATGCCCATTAAGCAACAATTCCCTACTGCCCCAGCCCCCAGGTGATGGTAACAATTTCTGTCCCCAAGAATTTGCCTTATTCTAAATACTTCATATAAGTGGAATCATAAATAGTTTTTCTTCCAATTCTGGCTTATTTCCGTTGGCATGTTTTCAAGGTCCTTCCTGTTGTGTGTGTGTGTGTGCTCAGTCATTTCCAGCTCTTTGCGACCCCAAGGACTGCAGTTCACCGGGCTCCTCTGTCCCTGGTATTTCCCAGGGAAGAATACTGGAGGGGTTGCCATTTCCTACTCCAGTGAATCTTCCCAACACAAGGATAAAACCCACATCTCTCATTGTAGCATGCACAAAACATCATTCCCTTTGGTTGCTGAGTAACATTCCATTGTATGTATGTATCACATTTTGTCTATTCAATCATCTGTTGATGCACACTTGGGTTATTTCTGTCTTATGGCATTTGTGAATAATGCTACTATGAACATGAGAAGACAAATATATCTTTGACTCCCTACTTTTAAATTTTACATGCATATAACCAAAAGTGTAACTATCAGATTATGAATTATTAAATCTATTTTTAATATTTTGAGGACCCACCATATTGTTTTCCATAGCAGATGCATAATCTTATATTCCCAAAAACAGTGCACAGTGATTCCAATTTTTCCACATCCTTGCCAATACTTATTTTCTGAGATTTTTTTGTTGTTTTTTGTGTGTTTTGATAATAGCCATCCTACTGAGTATGAGGTAATAGTATTTCAGTATGGTTTTAACTTGGTTTCTCAAATTATTAGTGATGTTGTGTATCCTTTCATTTGTTTATTGTCTGTGTGTATATCTTTGGAGAAATGTCTACCCAAGTCCTTTGCCCACTTTTTTCATCTCATTTTATTTCAAATGTCCCTCCTCTTATTAAATCAGTACATACTCATTCTAGAAATTTTGACATATTCAGAGCAGTATGAACAGGAAATTAAAAGCCCACCACCATATTAACAACTACTAAACACTTTTGTGTCTATTCCTCCTGACTTTTCTAGGCATACATTTTTTTTTGCAATATATTAGCTAGTTATAGTCTCTAATATTCTGGTTTGCCTCTAATTTAACACTGCTCCATTTAGTTATTAGCTTCCCCCCCCGCCCCACCCTGCTTGTGTTTATAATTGAGCTGTTTTTCTTCTATTAAGTTGTAGGTGTTCTTCAATCTCAGTATTGCATCCATATTAGATATGTGATTTGCAATGTTTTTCTCGTCAGTTGCCATTTCACTCTTTTATAGTCTACTTTACACAAAAGTTTTTAATGGTGATGAATTTCATTTTTTTTTTCCTTTAGTAGTCTGTGATTTTGGTGTCATGTTTGAAAACTCATTGCTGATTTCAGGTCATGAAGATTTTCCTGTTTTTTTCCCAAAGAGTTTCATAGTATTAGCTCTTAAGTTTAGGTCTTTGATCTATTTTAAGTTCACTTACTTTTAACTTTATTGTTTACTCTTTCATTTTTCAAGATTTCAATCCAGATAGCAAAAAGTGTTCACATTTTTTCAGCGCTTCAGAGCAAAAAATCTCCCCTTCTGTTTCAAATTAAAATCTTTAAGATATGAACAATATCGCTCGATATTGTGTTTTGTTCATTTTAATAAATGTAAGCAGAGTCAAGATTTAGATATGACACTGACCTTTTTCTCATTAAGTTTAAAAATGCACACATGGAAATCTGAGGAGCCAAATTTTCTTCTGCTTGGTAAGAATAAGATTGTTAAACTTGTGTATTTAATTTTGTGTGAAAAAAGATTTGGCTGGCTGTTGTCCCCAGTTCTGAAGAAATAACCTTGTAATCCTTCAAATTTCCCGAGTGATAGGACTGTGTTATCCAGGGTGGGTCCCTGAACCACATTTGATAGTTTTTGCTGACAAAGTAAATCGTGGGCTCTTGGATAGTTTATGCTAATGAGATGACTCGAGGGAAGCTGGCATGCCAGAAAGACCATTTGTGCAAGTAGAGAGATGGAGCTTTGAGCCAGGTAATTATTAGTCCTACCTCTGAGGAGGAGGGTAAGAGGATGGAGATATAGTTCAGTCACATGGCCAATTTTTTAATCAGTCAAGCCCACAGAATGAAGACTCAGCAAAACCTTGGACAGTGTAGCTAAGGTGAAGTACACTGGTTGGCAACACTTTTTGAGTATTGTCACATTTTGGTTCTGAGACGGTAACGCATTCCTAGAAACTTTGCATTTGGAACTCTCCCCAACTTTGCCCTATTTATCTCTTCTCTTGGCTAATTCTAGTTTGTATACTCTTGCTATCTTGCCATCATGAGTGCATGCTCAATCGTGTCCAACTTTTTGCAACCCTATGTACTGTAGCCCACCAGGTTCTTCTGGCAATGGGATTCTCCAGGCAAGAATACTGGAGTGGGTTCCCATGCCCTTCTCCAGGGGATCTTCCCAACCCATGAATTGAACTTGCATCTCTTGGTCTCCTGCATTGGCAGGCAGGTTCTTTACCACTAGCACCATCTGGGAAGCCTGCTATAATAAACACTTGCTATAATAAAACTAATTCCATGAATGGTGCTTTTAGTAAGCTTTGTTGAGAAGACTTGATAAATCTGAAGGAAGGTCAATGGAAATAAAAGGCAATTAATGAAGAGAGGAGGTGGAGTTAAGGGTTCAATATACATCAATTGTAAAACATGTGCTGAATATAAGAAAGAAAGATTATGCTGGGCTTGAGGTATCTCAGAACTTCTTGGAGGTGTCTTGTGAGGACGTTGAAGGCAGAACAAAGTGAAGGAAGAGAAGATGTGAGTGTGCTGGGCAGGGCGACAGTGTGAGCTCAGTCTCACAGCTGGTCATCAGCTTTAAGGCCGTGGTGTGAGGATCTAGACGTACAGATTGAAAGTGAGAAATGGTTTAATTTTTTTCCTCGGATTTCTCCCCTAAATTAAATGGTAAGTGTGATAACCAATAGAATGGACTAGGCATATTGCTATGTTTTCTTATTTTATTACTATAAAAAAGACTGAGCATTAAAGAGATCATATGCTACAAATATGCCACTTAAGCTCACCACATGGAACTAGGATACCTAGGGGTTTTTTTAATTTTTAATTTTAGGCTAATTTTTTATTTACTATAAAAATGTACATATATGGCACAAAAGCTAATTTTAATAGTATAAATAAGCAAAATAAGATCATCCATAATACTTCCATCTAGAGGTAATAGTCATTATAGATAATAACTGTATATTTTTAAGGAAATATCCTAGTTCAGGCATTTTTTACATAATTGGGGGATTATAGAGACAAAGGGAATTTTACTTTAATTTCATAAACTTATAAGCAGGCTTCCATGTTTTTATAAAAACTCATAAAACATTTTGAAAGACTTAAAAACATTCTAGTATAATTAGGCGTTTGCCTATTAAATAGTTTGTGTTCATTTTCATAATTCTAAATATTTATGTACATAAGTCATTATGTACATTGCAGATTATTACCTTAAATCTCTATGCATTATGTTACAGAAACAGTGAGTAGAACCGAGATACCTTATTTTGACAACCAACTTCTTTAACAAACTTGCAAAATATTTGTTTATATAATTTAATGCATGACGAAGAATCAAACCCATACCTTCATATGCACAAA